AACATTGTAACCAAATTGTGGGGAACAGTGCTGTCTAGTTTCGGATCAGCATATGATGGTACCTGCTCAACGGGTTTCCGGAGCAAGTGAGATGAGAAAAAAGTGCTTCCTCAGAGTCTGCCTTTACAGAGAGATTGGGACATGGGGCCCTCTTGTAGAAAAGGGAACTGTATAAAAATGTATCTTACAGACATGAAAGAATTGTCTGGGTTTGAATAATGCTATCTTTAAAGCACTGTGCCCTCCTCTATTACTTTTAACTTTGTAACAGCAAGTAGCTGCCAGCTGAGGTAAGTGTTACAAGAGCAGGATGTGTTTGGCTTGATATTTAGTTAAGCCAGCAAAGATCCCGAACTCTTTATCTAGACTTATCTAGGGTTATCTAGGGTCTGCAGGGGGTGAGAACGGGTATTGGGAAGCATAAAAAGAACAATGGGGGCTTTCATAATGATCATGATATATTCCTTAAAGTAAAAAATAGAAGCCAATAATAAAACTGTTCATATAACCCTGGTTAAAAAAAACAAAACTCTGTTTAAATATAAATAAAAATGGCTTGAGCTACTCAGGACCACTTGAGTACAATCCACTTGGTGGTCAGAAGTTTTCCTTCCACCAGCTCCCATTTCCTGCCTCAAGACCTGGAACCCGAGCTGAGGCTGGCTCCCAGCAACAAATAATCTAATTGATCACGGACATAAATATTTCCAAGGGCCAGCATAAATAACTCTATTTGACAGAGCTGGTGTAAATATTGATTACCTGCATAATTTCAAAGCATTTCTACCCTATATTCATCTAACCAACTTTCAGAATAAAACATTTCTACCTATTATTATTTCTCTGCATTTGCAGTTAAAATGAGATTATTTGGTCCGTATATAAAGATAATATAACAGTGGGGCAGGGGAGATGGCCTAGTAAGCAAGAGGTCCTGACTGCCAATCCCCAAGGCCCACTGAAAAAGCAGAGCATGGCTACAGGTGCCTGCGACTCTGGCATTGTGGGATGGAGACAGCTGGATGCAGGCAGCTCACTGCCTAACAAGCCTAGTCCAAACAGCAAGATTTTGGTTCAGGAAGAAAAACTGTCTCAAGGTAATCAGGATCCCTGTAGAGAAAAACACCTAAAGTCTACCTCTGCACATTTATATGTATGTTACACGCCCCTATCTACACATCAATCAGTCATGTAACACATTAAGAATCATTAACATACAAATGGGTACATGTGTGTATTTGACTAATTTTTTGGTATACTTGAAGTTTATTAAATAAGCAGTATTTATTTCATTTTGCAAACACTGCCTTTGGCAAGCCTGAATTCTAACTCATTTTGGCTATTTCATTCATTCAGGAAGTAGGACTATAATTTTCTGTGTTAGTGAGGCCGTACATCATGTAAGACTCTTAAATATGCTTAACATTCTAACAATAGGATTATATAACAGCAAGTACTGTTTTATTACTATATAGCATATTTAATTTTAAATTTTGATTAATGTGTTAATCTTGCTCTTTATATTAAAAGGATATATATTTAATTTTATGTAATCAATTTCTGCTAGCCCCTAGTCATATCTTTTAACTAGCATATCAAATGCTACTTCCTGAACTCAAGCAATAATATCAACAAACAGCAACTCAAGTCTCCAATAACCAATGTATCCCTGGGAATGACAAATGCAGATGAGACATTACTGTGGACCTTGAGCGCTGTAGGAATATACAATCACATCAGAAATTTTAAATATTTGTAGTTCTATATAAATGTAAAGAAGCAATAGAAATAAGGAATGCTACAAAAAAATCCAAGTAAGGTAATCGTTCTCTTAGATTTTAAATATTAGTCTTGAAGGGGCTGTGCACACATTTCTGAATTATACTACTACTATTCTGTTTAAAACAGCATTCCTGAGCAGGTTCTAAAACGCACACAGCTTTGCTGATCTCCTTCTGAACTGAAATATAATTTTTCTGTTTTCTTTAAAAGATGTCAAACTTCTCAAAAATGGTTACTCTGGCACACAAATTTTAAAATGTTGCTTGCATCAAAAGTGTATGTGGATGCTTTGAAAAAAGAATCTATAATGAAATGCCTTGGAGGCTATATGGAAGGAACAATCTCAACAATTTTAAGTGAGAAATGTTCCCAATTGGTGGTTTTTTTTCCCCCACCTCCACATACAAAAGGGAGATGGATTCAGAAGGTCCATCAACAACACAGCCCTTCATCCGTTTGTTAGACGTGTCGGCTGCTTCCTGGTGTGGGGTTACATAAGGACGTTTCCTTCCATTTAAGGAGAGCACCTATAACGGGAACTGACAAGGCTGGGACTAAATCTGAAGCCTGACCTACTTCTTTGTTAGTTCCATGAATTTTATGGTTATTTCTTTCAAATAAACTGTTAGCTAAGTTATGTTAGCAAATGTCTATCACACACACACTCACAGATCTCTCAATCTTTCTCCAACAGTGAGTTGCTTACAGTAACCTCTGTAAATGCTGGTTTCCCGTCTACTGCACACCTACTACCGCCCTGAATACTAAAAACATATTCATCTGGAGCACCTAATACAACTCACCTAATTGGTCTGACAGGTTAAATTTGTTAACTTTAAAATATGCTGTATTTTAAAGAAGCATATCTCTGAAACTTACTAATATGTAATATTTTCTGTTCTCTCTCAAAAAGAAGTATCATTTTCTTGATAAAGGGGGAATGATTAGTTAGGTAAAATAATTTTTTGGGGGGAACCCTTTCAGGTTTCTTAAAATTCTAATTATCACAAATTAAAAAATCACTGCATTTCAAATAAATTCACAAATAATTAAATAGTATTGAATTATACTCTCATAACTTAGAATTTAAGTGTAAACTCTAGTTTTTCTAGAATAATTCTGGAGGAAGCACTAAGAAGCTGACATAATTTTAATTTAAAATAAAAGAATTTGAAAGTAGTCCTAAAAGGTAGGCGAACACAGTACAACGAATACATTGTCACATGATTTACAGTACTAAATCATTTATGTTTATTTTGGAAGACGGCCACCTTCATTTTTCTTAGCCAATGCTGAGCAGTCACAATATTCAGTTATCGCTGAGCAGTCACAATATTCAGTTATCGATTTAATTTCCACTAAAGTCCTCAAAGGATGAAGTAGTTACAAATGTTTCTACATAAATGAAAAACATTAATGTCACAGCCCGAAGCATGCCAGTAAAATGCCCTACAAAGGAACAGACTGTATATACTATCACAGTGAACTCCAGTTCCATCAGACTACAGCCTTAGTATTTTGACATTTTCCACCCTGACTTCAAGGTTCTTTAGAATTCACAGGAAATAAATGACTGTGTGTGCATAGAAGCCATAGCAGAACCAGGCGAGAGATGCCAGAGCATCTTCTACAAAGTGAAACTCCAGGACAAGAGTCACAATAGGAATTAACTCCCATGTTTGAAGGAAAAAATTATTCAAGAATAATTAAGCTGAATAATTTCAGAATACTTTTGGAAGCTTTAAATTCTTCAGCACACACACAAGAGCAGGAATGCAAACCCCGATACACAGCCCTCTGCACGTGCATAAACCATCCTGTAGCTGCCACTGTGTGCAGCTTGTCTTCCTAAGTATGGATGAAATAATTTCTATTTAAATGAATAAATTTGAGAGCTGAGATCACAACCTATATGGTGCCAAATAAAAACCACACACACACAAACACGCACAAACACGCACACACACACACACACGATGCAAAATTACAAACACGAAGAACTAGCGTTTTGTAAATGATGCTAATACCTTAAGATACAGAGAATAAGAACAGAGCAGAACACACGTAACTTCATATGCATCATCAAGGATTGGAAAATGGAAGCTAAACTTGACTTTAAGATGTCCTGGACATCATCACACACAATAAAGAGCAATATGAACGCGAATAACGGGGCTAATGCTACAGAACAATTACAGCTAATAACTAGGGTTTCTTTCTGTTCTGCAATAAATGTGTATATACTCTCACTCTATCTGCTTCATAGATATAAATCACATTTTATAGCACTCTGTTATATATTTTAAAAAGCCAAATATTTAGTGTTCACAGTAAAATACAACTAACTCACTTGAGGAATGGACTCAACAGGGAAAATGTGGCAAAATTACGCCAGCTGTAGAAATGTAACTGAATTTTTAGGTGGTATGAATTTGAATAAGTATTTGTTTTTCTGTTTCAGAAAATAAAAATCTACGGAAAACTGAAATATGCCTAGTTAATTTTAATATACTGAAAGTCTCTGGTTTTGTCTGTTGAGGTAAGTGCTTGCTGTATAGATCAGGTTGGCCTTGAACTCATGAACCTCCTGCCTCTGTCACCACATCCAGCTTTAAACTCAGAAGATGTCTGCGTATGTGAGACGAGAAGTAGAAACTGCGGTTGCTTGCGGTAACTCGGCACACAGATTCTTGCTAACTCTGTCTAGAACCGTGTTCCAGGAGGTGGTAAGGATGGCGATGACGTAACAAACTGGAATGGAGCCAATGCAAATGCAGTGGGGCCAATCTAGCTTTTGAGATGATGGTTTTTATGAATGGTTTTACTGAATGGCGATTCATTAAACTTTATTTGGACAGACTTAGAAATTAAAAACTTTTTTAAGTATTTTCATTTTAGATAATACTACTTCGTAAGGCCTAATTTAAAGATGTGTAAATGGGTTTTTTGCTAAACTTAAAGGTTTCCGTTTTAGTAATGTATTTTACTTAGGAAATACCTCCTGTGAAAATCCTGTGAAAAGAGGGTAATTTACTTCCTACAATGTCATAGTTAAGAATATGATGACCCAACTTTCTATCAGTTCTGCAAGATAAGCAGAGCCAAAGATTACTGGCCCATCTAGAAAAGTCAGTCCTAACAACAAAGTGAAACTAATCTGAAAAATCATAATTATTAAAGAAAAGTGACAGCCGTCTTCCCACGGTCTTAACACTTACGGCTGTCGTAGCATACGTTTCCTAGCGCCCTGCCCGTCTGAAGCAGCACTTCCTGGTCTTTGCTATTTAACAGCTGCACCAGTGGTGAAATCAAGCCGGCATCTACACATGGGATTCGCATAAATTCTGAAAAGGAGAGACACACTTAATTAGACTGTGAAAGATACGTATTTTACATACATCACCTCCCATAATAAAAATAAACACATACTATTGAAATATTCAAAGCAAACTATTTGAAGAGCACATTTCTGTTCAAAAGTCCACGGCTACAGCACCATTATACACCCGATGAAGGAAACAAATAAGTGCACAAAAATGAACAGTGTTGTATAATCCACTGTTGGCAGTCTCCGCCACAAACCAATAGTGTCTTTAATTAATTTTTATCACAGCTAAAGCTCTCACGTGGTGGTGGGCGTGTTCTTCCAGAGAATGTGATAATGAAAGGACAGATAGGCTATAAACCAAGCTATCAAACAGTCCAATTATTACTCTAGGCGCTCTCAAAGTTCAAAGTTAAAAACAAATGATCCAGTGAGTCATTTTTAAAGGTTTTCAATTGCTAAGGCCTAGAGGAACCCTGAATCCCTCATCTCCATTCTTATTCACCCCCATTTTACAGGTCATTCATCTCTGCTCTTTTTACATGCACACATTCACAGGTCTAGCCAGCAAAAATTGTGCTTTTTTTGTCATTCAAATCTGTTTTTCCCTTATCTTTATAGTTTACTGTTCTCTACTGACTCTCAGTGACTCCACTACAGTAAAGAAAGGCAGTTGATGAAAATTCTCCCAAAGCCGGTATTCGTGTTAACCTTTCAGACCTGACTCGCTATCAGAATGTGCTGATGAACAAGGAGCTGGTTCTTCACGGTAAAACACCTTACTAACAAATGACCAACATTTCACTCCCACTTTCAAGAGGGTCCGCTCCGCAGTTTGTTTTGGTTCCGAAGAGCCCATGTGTATCCTCCTAAACAATCTTTCTCTTTTTCTTAATTGGAAAAATTCTCAAAACATTACCCTTTTTGATAGCTGTGACAGAGGCAGACCCTCCGCCTGAAGGGTTTCATGCCTACTGCATCTCTTCCTGCAATTTAAACTCCCACAGTTGAGATTACTGTTCTACTTCAAAAGCTAACCTCTAAATTTTTCATCAACAGTTTTAATAATGCAGAATATCCTAAGAAAAAGGAGTTATGTTATAGATACCCATGAACTTTCTCATGGGCTTCCTTTCACACTGATGCTTATTTCAGAAATATCTATAGATTTCAACTGTTAAATTAACATGCAATCAATTAAAGACAGGTGTCCATTTCTTTTTCACCGAGCTATACCTAGCTTACAACAGCTGAGATAATTTCATTGAATATTGTTTAAATATGAAACTTAAGAGTAAAATATGGATTTTTATTTAAAAGAAGAAAACAATGAGGTTATTGAGCAATAAACATGCAAATATGCCCATTATTCTCACTAGTAGAGGAATACACCTTTCATTAGCCTGACTGAGAGTGTGACGCTCAGCATTCTGCTCTGTCTTTAGGACTCAGCCAGCAGCCTCCATGGCACCTTAGAGGAAACCTCTGCTAGCAGAACTACCATGAGTATACAGAATGCATGTTATATATATATAAAAAAAAGAGGGCTTATGATCAAAAATGAAGCCTGTCTTCTGAATTCTCAAAATCTACACTGGGACTCTGATGAGATTAAAAATAAATTACTTATCTTAAAAACCCAAGCTGCTTTGTATAAAAAGAGGTTAAGTTAACAAATAGCATCCTGGGAGGTTCCATTTTCAAGCCAGGTCAGTATCTTAGATGATGGCATATAAATCATAGAGAACCAGTTTTCAGTAGACAATCAAATGTGATTTACCAATACAGAAGCTCACTGACACTTGAAAGGCATTCTGATGAGCTTTAAATAAGGGAAGTGTTTTGTGCCAGTTCCATTTTGGTAACTTACATAAATGTACATTGTTTTCCCAGCTCAAACAATAGTTCTTTGCAAAATCAATTAGCATGGTAATTACTCAAATGAAATCAGAAAAAAAAACATATTAGAATAAAAGGCATAATACCAAATTCTGTCCAACTGAAACATACTAAATATTATTATAACTATGAGAGTCTCCCTTATGCTTAAAGGTTGCTTTACTTATTTGTTTGGTGTTTGCCAAAACTGACTAAATTAAAATTATGTAAAATGCTCCTGGAATATTTCTTCCAAGGAATCTGTATGTATATATATATATATATATACACACATACATATACATATATATATTCACACAATTGAGTATTATATAATTTATATTATCATTTTTCTTCCCCAAAGGGCTTTCAGTAGAGAACTGAAAACATAAATAATTGTCAGCTGAAAACATGCAAAACTGAAGGGCGGGGGAGAAAGCAGTACGCTCTGTGGGTACACCAGCAACCAACAGAGCAGAAAACCCAGCTCCCTGAGATAGACAAGCAAGTGACACAAATCTCTCAGACCTAATCTAAGAAAGGATAGGAGAACAATGGAGACAAATAGTAGCTTCCCTTTATTCTACTCTGAATAAGTGCAAACATATAAAGAAAATAACGGCAAGAGTCATCTACAATAGTAACATAAAGTCAAAGAAAGAAGAAGTAGAAAAAGTCTACTCTATGAAATCAAAACACAGTAAAACATACTGGCAGGCAAGGTGTAAAACTGAAGATGTTCCGAGCAGAAAACTCTGGATGAAAACCTCACCGTTTTTGGCTACTTCTGCTATGATGTTGGCTACTTTGGCTGTGCAGGAAGACTGTGGCGTCAACAGATTTGCAAATAACTCGAGTATTCCACTTCCTTGTATTTTTTCACTTGTTTCTGTGTCTGAAAGAGAAAGAGGGGGGGGGCTTCCATGAAATTCTGTAATGCAAACATGAACTATTTAGACGAAAATAAATTACTCAAGAACTTTCCTTATCCATAATAAAAGCTGGTTTGCTATACCTCAAACCATTTACATGAATGGCCTCTGCTGTACGCGCTGTTTGTACCCTGCTTTTATCTTCAGAACTCACCACAGCACCATTTTGTCTGCCTCTAGTCAGACTACAATGGGAGCTTTCTTACTCGGTCTTAGTTTGAGTGTTAGTTTCAAAGGTATCAATTTGGAACAGGAATGCTTTTTTTCTACATCTCTGTAAATTATTAGAGCTATGCTAATATAATTTTATGTATTTTTTATGGTTCCCTATAAAGGTATAGTAACTTGAAAATAGCAATTATGAGTAAAACCTATACCTCATATAATTTTTATGTACTGAACGATAGCTAAGATCACATACTTCCATATGATGACCACATTTCTAATAAAATTCATTAGAATCACTATTAAGAAATAGGAAATAATCTCCATGATGTTCAAAACTCGGCAAGGTGATACAGAGATTCAAACGCTCCTGGCTGCTTTCCCTAAAGACCCCGAAATTGTGACCATGGAAAAGCTGTCCCCATTACCCATCTGTCTTATGGCTGGCAACCTGGGACGGGGAGAAATACTCCCCTCTCCCGCCTATTAATGCTGGAGGCAGTGGGAGAACTGTCCCTGTGGTCATAAGAGCGGGAGAGCCATCCCTGACCCCCATCAGCTGCAGCGCTCGAGAGAGCAGGCCCACACCTCTGCAGGGCAGCACAACAAAGCCAACCTTGTAAGCAGGTGTGGGTGGGTCAGCCCCGAAACTGTGACCGTGGGCGAGCGGTCTTCATTGCCCATCTTGTGGGTCAACCCTACAGCCAGGCCCAGACTCAGGGTTATGACATGCCCTGTCCCAACATCCACCCCGTGTATGATCTGCTGGAGCATGCGAAGGGACCTGACCCGCAGACCCAAAGCTGCAGGATCTCCACAACTCTGAACAGCAGCGGGACGACCATGAAGATTCCTAGTGGGGGCCCAGCGTGGACTGTGCAGTAGAGAACAGGGGCCTTGAGCCAGACCAATGACTCTTTGCAATACTTGCAAGCAGAGATGCAGGGACAAGGGGGTGCAGGGCGTGGCTTGTTGAGTGGCACTGTAGCTTTTATAATGACACATTTTAATTTTGTCCCCTTTTTTTTTCATTTTATTTTCTTCCTTTCTCTTGAATTTTGTTTTGTTTGTAGGGGGTGAAAGCAGAAAGCAGATTCAAAGGCACAGGGAATGAATGGGATCAAAATACAATATGCGAAAGACACATAGAATTAAAAAGAGAAACATTAGAGAAACAAAAGCAAAAACAAGCTCCTTCATGTACCAACCATTGAAATAATCTATTAAACCAAAAGGCAATAGTTATCTAGATGACAGAAATAAAAAAAATCCCCTAAATATTATATCTGATGAGAAATGATTAAAATTGCCAAATAAAGGTTGACTATAATGTCTTTTCCTGCAGATCTTTGAACAGATAAGTAATAGAAAATACAAGAATTTCATAAAAGCCAGGTGACATGAAAAGTGGAGTAGGAAAACCATTTTACTCAAATAACTCATGAAAGTACACAAAAATATATTTCATTATTGCTAACACTTAACATTAGTGGGGTGGGGTTTTTTTTTGGCTTTCAAGACACTTTTACTAATTTTTATGTGCGTATGTATATGTTCACTCTTGCATCAGTGTGTGTGTGGAGATCAGAGGTGAATTTACTGGAGGTCAGTCCTCTTTCCCCCTTTAGAGTTTCAGGGATTAAAGCTAGGTCATCAAGCTTGGTGGCAAGCACCTTTACCCACTGAGCGACCTTACCAGTCCCTAAATAGTGTTTTTCAAACTGTAGGTTCCGATCTATCAGGGAGCTCTAAAACTTTATTCTGGACAGAGAAATAAGGATTATCAGTCAGAACAACAAAAGAATTAAAAATGCACATACTAATCCACAAGGCATTTTATGTTTTGGGTTAAATTATGTATGTGTTAATATGACTGTACATGTGCACATGTACACAAACACACGTTCTGCTTTTGCTACATGGAACCCAAACCCAGAGCTTTTCCCATGCAAAGACTCTACTATTAAGCTATACCTGCAGTTCCTATCAAATATTATTTTTAATCAAAGGTTTGGGTCAAAAAATTAGAAACTGCTATTTCATGTGTTCCTCACGTACCCGGGATTCTGAGTTAAAGGAGCACAAGTCTTCCAGTATATGCTTTCATTTTGCATCTCCAACAAGAGTGTAAGTTTTCAGGTACCACCAGGAAACCTGACAGACACACACAGACACACACAGACACACACAGACACACACAGACACACACAGACACACACACACACACACCCACACACCCTCCACCAAGCCAGAGAGCGGTGAAGTGATTTTACCATGTTGCAATGCCCTGTCTTCTGACAACTGCTAGAGGATCTACAGCTGAAAACACAGGGTCAGGCAGCCCCGGGGGCCTAGCCCACCATCTGTTCAAGCCAGGCTGACAGCAGGAATCTGGCCTCTGACAGCATCCAGACTGGATGCCCAGGCACAAGTGCATGGAGGCAAATGTTGACTGCACGTTACCCACGCATGGTTCATTTTAACTCTAACGTAAAGATTATTTGAGTACCAGAGCTGAGTGTCGGGGCATGGGAAAGACACGACTAAACAGTGCAAGCCTCTCGCTGTGACACAACCTCCCACAACCACGGCCCAAGTAAGTGGCAGGATAGATGGATGAGAAAGAAATCAAGAATTTGGAAATAGTGTGCACACTATTATCCTATGTAACCAAGTACTATGCAGAGTGGATTCTCTTTCTCATGGAAGAAAGTATGAAGAAGTAATAGAACAAAAAAGACCCACTTATTTAACTATAGAAACGGGTTTTACTAAATGATTAAGCTGTGAGACTCGCTCTATAAACTATAGCAGATAACTTGACACAGCCTTATTATTTCCATCCTAGGGGTAACATAAGCTGTGGTCGAAGCTGCAGTTGGAAATCATCACTGTTAGTGCTGACCCTGTAAAATTATCACTAATTAGGTTAAACAAAAAAGACTACTGAAGATTGGCAGCGGTAGGGTAAAACGACAAAAGGCATTTATCTGTAAGTAAACACCGTGAGAAACTGTGCTAACAACAGTGGGAAAGCAGGGTCCAGAACTATACTGCCTAGCTCAGAGGGGAAAGGAGTTCCTGAAGAAACGGTCCATGAGAAAAGTGGATTTCCTCATTCCAGACTCACGGCGATTGGCTATACTAACAGCAAAGAAGCATTTCCAGATAAAGATCCATCTGCACTCTACCGTCAGATACTCTGGAGGAAAATAGGAAGTAAACAAAGCTACAGAAATCTGCCATCTGCAGGACTCCTTAAAGTTCTCAATTTAGCAATATTTATAGTGAGCTTAACAAGATTATATTCTGCTTCCCAAGAATCTAGGTATCCAAAAGGAGTAATTCAAGAACTGAAGGAAATAGTATCACATACTACGATAAGTCAGTGATGAGAGATATTTACTCCTGTTTCCAGGGGAAACCAAAAAAAAAAAAAAAATCACAAGGAACACAGAAAACTTTGTTTTTTAAGATAAATCACTAAACATTGATATTACTATAATTTTGAGAAAAGTTAAAAAAAGATAAATGTTCTTATCACTTAAGATGTAAACAAGGATGCTATATGTAAGGGGTGATGTCTGGGTCCTCAGCCATGGTGTGGTTTAGGAGGGACAGAGGCAAGCAGAGTTGGGGATGGGGTGGGTGTAGTGGTATTTTATTTGTATTTTAAGCTTGCCTGAAGAACAGAGTGCAGAGATAAGCCACTAGAGGCACACAACTTTAATCCCAGGAATTGGGAGACAGGGGCAGAGGGAGTTCAAGGCCACTCTGGGTTACACAAAATTGAACTGTCTAAAAGAGAAACAGAGCCCACCTTTGGATAATCACAACACTTGGGATCCCACACCTTTAATCCCAGCACTAGGGAGGTGCAGACTGGCGTGATATGGCTGGGCAGAGAAAGGCATATGAGGACAAAGGAAGCAGAAGTTCAGAGCAGTCTGAGGTCAGGATCGCCCCTTCAGTCTGAACACTGGTAGAGGTAAAAGAACTCTCTAGCGGCTGGCGCTCTGCTTCTCTGATCTTCAGCATTAACCTTTACAACTGAATCTGGGTTTTTATTATTAACACCGATTAGAATTCGTGCTATAGGTGGTAGCGGGTAGGACAGACACAGAAAACACTGGTTGGCCCAGTTTGAGAGCAGAGCTAGGAGGAGGGTCCTTGACCTGTTGCACCCATGGTACCCTCAACACCCACCCATCCATGATAGTCATTAAGGTTTACAGACAGCCTTGGGCATCCCTGGAGGTTGAGTCCTTGAGGGACCTGCTTGGTTCTGATCCCACAGAAAATTTTGCTCACTACACATACAACAGACTGTTAATATGTAAAATATACAAAGAACTTGTAAAACTAACCAAGAAATGAAACAGCCAAATCAATACATCTATGAATGAAATGAACAATGGTTTTCAAAAGATAAAATTAAAAACAAAACACTCAATAAAGGGCTGGGGAGACTGCTCAGTAGATTAAACACTTGCTGCTAAGCACTGGGACTGGATTCAGGTCTCCAAAACGTTCAAACAAGCCGGGCAGCGATGGCAACCTGTAGCTGGAGGTTTCTCATCCCACCTGGTCCCAAAGCCTCTTTTAAAACAGTCACTCAGAGGCTTAATATTAATTGCATACTGTTTGGCCTATTGACTCAGGCTTATTATTAACTAGTTCTCACAACTTAAATGAACCAAGTTCTATTTGCTTCTCTGGCAGCTGTTTGCATCTCCCTCGACTCCGCCTTCTTTCTCTCTGCATTGTCTTTCCCACCTAGCAATATTCTGCCCTGCTA